GTGAGAAGAGCAGTTAGGCTTGTCCCCTTCCTGCACTTAGGAGGACAATCTTTAGTCCTTCACCAGCGGAGTGTTAGCTTTGGAGTTTGAAGATGATACCTTCTCATCCTGGCTTGTTGAGAATTTTTATCATGAAATGGTGCCATTTTTGTCAGATGCTTTTCTGTATTTATGTAGGTGATTATGTGGTTTTATCCTTTCTTTTCACGTGGTGTGTGGCATTGAGTGAGTTGGGTAGTGAAGCCAACCTTGCATTCCGGTGCAGCCGTGGGCCTGGACTTTGTCCTGTGGGGAGTGTTTTGGCTACTAATTCAGTTTCTTTGCATTCTGTGCGTCTAAACATTTTTTCTGTTTCTCTGTGGATAAATTTTGATGATTTGTCTTCCTGGGCTTTGTCCATTTCATCTCAGTTACCTAATGTGTTGGTGTGTAGTGGTCCACTATCTTCTGGTATAGTTCTTAAAAACATTTCTGTCAGGTTAACAATCTCCTCTTTGCTTCTGGTTTTAGTAATTTGAGTCTTCTTTCTCTTCCTTTCAGTCAGTCTTGGTAACATTGTCCTCTTTGTTCTTTTGGTTTTGCTATTATTCCTCTTTTTTAAAAAACTATGTACAAATTTATTATTTGTTCTAGTTAGTCATAGATTTTGAGGAGACAACCAGCCAGTGCTGCCCTCGCCTGCAGTCCCGCCGTGGTGCTGAGTTCCTCTCTTCCTTTGGGTGGGGTGGGCCGACTCCTGCTGCTCCTGCCTGTATCAGAGCAGCTCAGCTTCGCCCGTTGAGTGTTTCTGTGTGACATTTCATTTGAAGAGTTGGTTTACTGCTGGAGTGCCCCCTCTCACTGGTACTCAGTGAAACCCTGCAGAACAGAACCAAACTGCACGTGTTGACGTTCCTGCATGAAAAACAAGCCTGAAAGCCAGGTTGCAAAAGGTACACGTGTGACGGTGATATTAACATAGCATGCAGCGCGGAGACCTGTTGCACACACTCTCTGGAGTGTTCCCCAAGGCGGAAGCACCTGTCTGGGCATTATGCATGCTAAGTACTTGGCAGCTGCCTCTGAGGATGCAGGAAAGGGAGTGGGACTGAGGAGGACTTCAGCTCTGGGTGACAGAGTGTTAGGATCTGGTGGAACTCAATCTCTGGGTGATGCTTGTGTGGATGTTTCTCACATTTTAGGTATCATTAAGCTGGCCTCGCCACCTGCAGGGACTTGTGACTCAGGGAAGACCTCAGGTTTCCATCTTGGATGGCAGTAGTCATATCTGTGCCTTGTTGGTTTATGGGGACCAAAGGAACTGACATGTTGGATTCCGAGTAAGTGGAATCTCTGCTTGAGACGACTGTTCTTGATGTCTTCTGGCTTGCAGGAGCTTGGAGCAAACATGCAGGCTGTTGAGACTGGCTGAAGCCGAGTTGTGGTCATGGGTCCGTCCCTCTGCTTCTCGGTATGCATCATTCCTTTTGTAAAAGCATTGATCCAGCCCCTGTCACTGCCCTGGTCCATGGCCTGTGGTGGCTACGACATCAGCACTCAGGACAGTGCCTGGCATAGGGCAGGTCTTTATTGGCTGAGCAGATGGATCTGAGCTTTCTGGTTTCTTTTTCAGCGTGAGGGCAAATCTTATCCTGATATGTGCAGAAGTAAATGTGGTGTTTGGAGTTCCTTTAGAATTGTCTTCTGAAATCACTCTGTTCTCTTACTGACTTACTTGGAAGTCAAGAGTTGTAGCCAGGCTCTTTGAATTCCCTTCACTTCCTGGTGTCCATCCTCTGTGGAGTGAAGCCTTCCTGGGCTCAGGATCAGGGAAGCCTGACATGAGCATGTTCCTGCTCACTGTGGCGGTGGCCCCTAGATGCCACTTTTATTCCCTGCCTCGTTCATCCTCTGCTTTGCCCTCAGACCTCATGCATCTGCTCTCTTCACCTAGAATTTTCTACCTGGTACATTTTTCTAGGTCTAGGTGTCAAGAAAAACCCAAGACTGGGTGTCAGTGTTCCCATGGTGTGTCTCGTAGGAACTACCATAGAGCATGACATAGGCCACCTTATTTTTTGCTTCTGAAGCTGTTATAAAATCCTTAATGATTTGGATTGTATTGTACTTATTTTTGCTTCCTTCATCCTGTCATAGAGTTGATATCCAACAATGTTTGTTACATTTTACTGAAAAATGTTCTGCTACAGGCATAGAAATGAATAGAAAGTAAAACACTGCAAAATGACCCAATGTAATGTTTTTTAAAAATATTTTTAATTGTAGATGGACATAGTACTTATATTTTATTTATTTTTATGTGGGTCTGAGGCTGGAACCCAGTGAGATGTGCCACACAAGCACTGTACCACTGAGCTACCACCCTAGCCCCAAGGTAATATTTTAATGTATATGAAAGATGACATCCTCAAGCCAGTTGGGAGGAGAGCTTATAATAAGTGGTATTAGAACAATTGATTTTTAAAAAAGTTTCCTAATAAACACTATGTAGTGAAATAAAGCAAATTATAGATGGATTTTAAAATAAGGGTTAAAGATGTGAAAAAAATGGAAGTGTGAAAAAGCACATAGTTGGGAATTTATGCAGTTTCAGAAGGGGGGGGTCTTCCCCTTGTGGTCACCAAAGTGGATCCTATGTGAAGGAGACAAGAGTGGTGGACCTTGTCACCGGTGACTAGGAAAACAGATTTGTCACTGGTGTTCATTTTCCTTTGCTACTCTAACAAATTGGCAAAAACTTATTGCCTTACAACAATGTATGTGTCATCTTAGGACTCTGGATGTCAGAAGTCTGACAAAGGTCTCTCTGGGCCAAAATCAAGCTGTCAATAGGATCTCCTTCTGGAGGCTCCAGGGAGAACCCTTTTCTTTCCCTCTCCAGCTTCTGGAGGTGCCCATGCGCCCTGGTGTGTGAGGCCTTTCTCCGTCTTTGAAGCCGGAAATGATCCGTCTCTCTCTGGCCTCTTTCATAGTTATGTCTGTCTCCAGTCCCTTTGGCCATAGTTGGTAGAAAGGGTTCTGCTTTCAAGTGGATTAGAGTTGGCCCACCTGGAAAACCCAGGATACTCTCCTATCTCATTGTGTATATTTTTAATCAAAATTGCAAAGCCCCCTTTGCCATCTAACTTACATCCACAGCTTCTGGGCACTGGGACATGGACATCTTTTGTGGGTCTGCTATTTTGCCTGCTATAATGCCTGAATGATCAAGAAGCAATTCTTTTTTATTAAGGGGCTTTTAAAAATTGGTAAGAAGGTGAACTCTTGTTAGCAATGGACACAAGGGTATGAACAGTTCACACACACAAAAAAAGAGGTGCCTGTGAACAAGAGGCCTAGAAGCTGCCAGCCTTACTCCTCATTAGGAGGCACATGGCCAAGACTGAGGGCACTCTCCTGTCTACTTAGCAACAATTGGTGGCCCGCCAACCCCTGAACTGTTCGTTGGCAGGGTGGACAACAGCCCCCTTGTTTGGGAGCCTATGTCCCCAGGACCACATCCTCAAGAGTCTCTCAGAGTGGTGTGTGAGTTCTTGTCTCCAGAGGTGTGTTGGTATTTTTGTAGTCAGTTTTACGTGGCTCGAGTGTTCCCCAGTCGACATTGGTTGAATCCATTATATTGTGGCCATATGGTGGCAAAATGTGAAGTTGGAAGTCATATTGTCTAAGGGGTGGTCAGGCCAGTGACGGGGTAGCTGGTCCTCCCTCTATTCCTGTGGTTCTAGAAACTTTCTATTGTGAACAGTTATAGATTCACAAGGACTTGCAGAGGTGAAGAGTACTCTTTGCCCTGTGTTGTTCTTTTGAATCTACTTACGGTGCATATATTTTTTTGTGCATCCAATACGTATGAGGTAGTTAAAACTGAGGAAGAATAAAGTAATGATAGGAGGAAGTAGTCATGATCTTTTCCTGACTAACACAGTGTTTCTTTTTTTTTGAGAGAATGACAGTGTTCACTTCTCTCTGTGAGTATCTTCTCGTATTGCCCACAAGGTACTATACTGGGTCACAGTGCCTTTTCCCTGCTTTGTGGACCATGTCAGTTAGGGTGTCTGATGGTGGCTTCAACAAGTAGGGACTTGTTTATTTCATGTTCCTGGAGTCAAGGGAGATGGTCAGGCAGACCTGCTGTTTCCATCTCCTGTCTTGCCACTCTTCTTGGGTGGATTTGTGTCTCATATTTACTTCTCATTCTTGTGGGGTGTCTGGGGTCCCAGGCTTTTCCTGTGGCCAGGAGGAGGGGTGGAGTGGGGCGCCAAGGGCTGAGCGTGCTGGCTAAGCCAGCTTTTTTTTGTTTGGCTGTGCTGGGGATGGAACCTAGGGCCTTGCTTGTGCTAGGGTAGTGCTCTACCACTGAGCCATGTCCCCAGCCTCTAGCTTGTCTGTTTTTGTTAGAAAAACAGTGGCCTCTGTTCTTTCTCCCTGACCTGACCGCATTATGAGGCTGTCCCAGCTGAAGTCAGCCAAGGGAAGGCTCAGCCGGCCACCATGTCTACCGTGAGGGGTATTTTGTTTCCATCTGTTTTCCAGTGTACCGTGATAAACCTAAGGGTTATATAAAACCATTAATTCTTTGGAAACATTATGTTCTTTTGGTGGTGCAGCGTTTGACATTCAGACAAAGTGACGAGAATTCCCAGACAGGCATTTGTATGTGTTTGTGAACAGCTTGTGTGACGGACAGTGCCCCCAAGGGCCTCGTCTCTCAGTGGGTGCCTGAGTTCTGTGGTGGTGCCTGGAGGGCTGTGGTGCCTGTGTGGGCCCGTTCTCAGGAAGGGCCTAAATGCCCTGCTTGTGTGTGGTGGGTGGGCCTCTGTGGTGCCACGCATTCCTCCTCGACCTGCCCTTAGGACCTTGCATGGAGGAGGGTTGTGGTGGCCCGTGAGTCGCTGCTTCCACAGTGGTGTGGCTTATGAGGAGCTGGCCCTTCTCCTGAGTCAGTGGTGGGCTCTCAGCAACGCCAAAGAAAATCTGATTTGTTTTCTCCTTTTTGTTAGCATCCAGCATGTGTATGGAGCCCAGCACCCACCTTTTGATCCACTGTTACATGGCACGTAAGTGACGTTTCCTTTCACTTTTGGCTTCACAGCTGCTTTGAGGAGGGCTGGGGTAGCCAGAGTCTTCCTGCTGTCCTCCAGCTCACTGAGACTCCCAAGGGCAGGGAAAGTAGCCTCTCATTTGGCAAACGTGGACCAGGCAACTGCTTCTTGCGAGACACCGCCGTCCTTGCCTAGCTCATCCTGCAGTGGGGCAGGCGACACGAAGGCTGCAGCTGCATGTGGGTTGGGGGTGGAGCCTTGCAGGACAGGGAGCTGGTGCTGTTAACTGGTGCAGCCTGGCTTCAGGTCGTTCCTGGAGGCTCATCTGACTCCCCCTCTCTTGCCTGCTGCCCTGGTCCTTGCTGCTACACCACAGCAGGTGGGAGCAGAGGGAGTGGGTCTTGGTGGGTACTTGTGGGAGGGTTCTGGTGTGGCTGCAGCACTCACCTGTGTGCTCGCTTCCTGACATCTGCAGGGCAGATGTTGTATGTTGTCACATTTCTGGGGAGTCTCCTTTAATGATACTGTTTCCAAACGTGCGCACCACAGGCTGTGCTCTCTGCACAGTCCTTGCTGCCCCAGCCCCTCAGCCGCTGCTGTGGGAGCTTTGCTGAGGTGCTGGGAGCATGCAACTGTGTTTGCGGTCCAGACCTAAGTGAGTTCAGGCTGTGAGTCTGAATGGCATTGCCCCAAAGTCCTGTGCTTCCTAGTGGGGCTCCGTGGGTGGGATGGCAGCGGCTGCTCAGCTTGGCTGCCCTAAAAACCTTCTCCTTGCCGTGGCTGGGTCCTCCTGCACTTTGCCTCGTTTCATTTTGCTCTCTGTGTGACCCGTGTTTGAGTCCTCACAGCACCTTCCTCTAGACTGAGCGCCTTCCTGAGTGGGGGCTCTCTCCTGCTGATTTAGGACGTGTGCTGCCGCTCCTCTGAGTGGGTGCAGTAACGATGCCTTTGCTTTGCAGTTTGCTCAAGTCCACACCCAAGGTGCCAACCACCCCAGTGAAGGCCAAGAGGGTCAGCACCTTCCAGGAGTTCGAGAGCAACACTAGTGATGCCTGGGATGCTGGGGAAGATGATGACGAGCTCCTGGCCATGGCGGCCGAGAGCCTGAACACTGAGGTGGTCATGGAGACAGCCCACCGCGTCCTGCGCAACCACAGCCAGCGGCAGGCCCGGCCTGTGCTGCAGGAGGAGCCAGTGCCCATGCAGGAACCAGTGCCTGCAGCAGAGCCGCTCACAGCTCCAAGCGTGGACCTCCGGCTGGTGAAGTCCGTCAGCGAGAGCCACACATCCTGTCCCGAAGGTAGGCGGGGCGCACCAAGGTAGTGACATGCCTTTCGTCCTGGGAGACAGGAGATGAGAGGGTGCCTGTTGTTCTTATGCAGGACTCCCAGCCAGAAGGTCACCTTCCATAGGGCTGCAGTGTCCTCAGGCAGGGGAGGTGGTCTGCGCTTTTCCCTTCAGGTCCTGATGTGCTTTTCTTTGCTCCTCTGAGCTGTCACTTTCCTCCAGAGGAAGTGACAGGGCTGGTGGTTTTTGGGGTGATTCCCAAGAGGGCCACTGAGGAGCGTGGTGTCTTGTGGGATCCCCATCTTCCTCTGAAAGATGCTGGCTGTGCCGAAGGCTGTCTTGCATCCCTTCCTCAGGTTTAGGGTGCTGTCTCCGCATTTACAGATGAGAAAGCCAGAATCATCATGGTAGCCTTGGATGCAGACCTGCGCTTCGTACCTGGTCTAGTTTTCAAAAACGCCTTCTGGGAATTAATGAACTTCTAAAATGTTCCATGTCTCTTGAGCTAGAATGTATGAGTTATTTCACATGATCATTTTTCAGTATTGGAATGTAGCAAATTTGAAAGTCTTTAAGCTTACGGATGGACAGCCAGATGTGGCTCTTGCAGTTGATTGAAAGTCCTGATGATGATGGAAGTACACGCTTCCTACCTTCCCATGCTTAGTCCTGCCAGGGTGCTTTCAGCTGTGGCACTCCCGGTGTTGCCTGCTCACAGACTGTGCTGATGTTGAAACTTGACAAGCTGTGAGGGCCGCTTCTCAAGCCCCTGGGGGTCTGGGTTGAGTTTGTGACAGCTGCCTCTGTTAGTGATGGTCTTCCACACTCCAGATGCCAGGGCTGAGAGTGGGCAGGACTAGGAGTTGTATGGTGGGATATCCTGAGCAGATGCAAGCTCAGAATGCATCCATCCAGCTGGGGGAACCATGGGATGTCACCCAGCATGCCACCTCCTGCAAAGAAAGCAAAGTGATAGTGCCCAAGGAACTGTGTGGCTGGGAGAGGGCTCTTGAACTCCTTGCTTTGGCCTTCGCCTGCCATGGGGTTGGTCATCTCTCCCATGTCTGCTTTCTGAGCAAGCTTTTTTTTCGGCACTTCAATACAACAACAACAACAACAACAAAATAATAATAGTATTTATTGATCATTTGCTGCCGCTAGCCCTTTAATAAACAACTTTGCAGTAGCTCCTTAACCTCATGTCTTCTAGGAGGGAAGGCATGTTGTCTAGTCCTCTTTCATGGATGAGGCATTGAGAGGCCTAGGGCTGTTCCCTGAGTGGTGGGACTGGTGTTCAGGTCCAGGACACCTGGCTTGGAACCCTGCTATTAGCTGCTGGCCCTACCCCATAGAGAAGGGGTTCTCATCAAGGTGATCCTGCCCACAGGGCCCTGGGGCACTGTCTCTGGACACATCAGGTGTATATGTATGTAACTGTGTGTGGTACAGGGCTGGAGATACTACTTAGCATCCCGCATTGCTCAGGGCAGCCTCTGCCCCCAACAGAGACTGATCAGTCTCTTGTATCTGTAGCAGTGAGCCTGTGGAGCCCTGAAATCGGAGGCACCTGCTGGGGACACTGGTCGCATTGGTGGCTGGGAGCAGAAGCTGTGCAGTGTAGGGGGAGAGTAGGTGTGCTCGATCCCCCGGTCCTGGCCTCTGAGATCACTGGACATTTTCCTCAGCAGTGGCATGAAGATGGCACACTTCTGTTGTTTTCAGGGACTTAAGATCATAGCTTGGGTGAGTATTAGTGGGGTCAGGCAAATTTGTGAGTGGATGAAATGTAGAGTGTCCAGGAGCCAGAGACCCCATTTTGTCTTGTTGTAGAGGGTGCAGGGTAAGGTCATGGAAGTCTTCAGGGAGGAGGGGATGTCTGTTGGTGTCCAGGCTCAGAAGGTCAAGGCTTTAGGGTCTGAAACAGTCTCTCTGGGCAGGGCTGTGTCTGACCGTCCTGCCTCTGTGCACTTTGCAGGTCTCTGAAGGCAGGATGGTGCCCCAGCTGTGTGTTCTTCTTGGTATCCTGTGTAGCTGCTTGTGCGTGCTTCGCTTGGGCCCTGTGCATCGCCCCTCAGGGCCCTCACGCAGGCTGCTCAGGCCATCAACCTGAAGTTCCATTTTACTTTTCTGCTGATAGGAACAGTGTTTTGCCCTTCTGAGCATCCTAAACCCTTTTGTCCTGTGGGGCACAGTCCAGTTCCAGTGATTGTGTTCACGGGCATCTGTGCTTCTGCCTTCCTGTGTGCTGCCTTGGGGACCTCAACATCATCTGCGAGTACCTGTGGCCTGCCTGCCGTAGTCAGCCTTGGTCTTCAGCCCTGCAGGGCAGCTGGATTGAACATGCAGTGTGGTGCAGTGGTAGGCCCTGGGCTCACCAGCCTTGGGCTCACCGGCCCTGCGCTGTGGGGCGATGCAAAGGTCCCGATGCGAAGGTACAAGCAGCCACCTGGCCAGATTGTGAGGGGAGGAGGCTGCTGGGCAGGACGAGCTGCAGGGTAGCACTCGTGCCCTGCCCCTCTGCAGCTGCTGCCAGTGGACCTGCTGGCTCCACGGAGCTGAGCTTTGCGCCATTCCCTGGCGTGCATTCTTGCTTCCTCTTGTATTCTGTTTTTTGGAAGATGAGGCTGCTGGGTGGGATTTAGACTAGGAGTCAGAGCCCACAGAGCCTCTTGCCGGTTGGTCTGAGGTAGTACTGCTGTGTGACCTGGAAGCCCTGAGCTCCTTTTCGTGGCTGTCCCTGGCCCAGGTTCCTGGATGTAGCATACTGTTATGCCATCCCCAGTGTCCCAGAGAGCCCAAGGGTCCCAGGGGTGTAGCAGCAGGAGATGCCCTGGTGGGTGGGGGTGGGGGCCTGGACTTTGCTGCCACTGCAGCCCTCCCTTGCCTGCCTGGCTGCCTTGGCTTCCTTGAGATGCTGTTCTCTTCCCAGCCTTCCTCCCCAGGGCTGTGACAAGGTCTGGGAAGTGGGCAGGCCAGGGGAGTCTGGAGGCAGTGGCGTCAGAGGTGCCCTGGAGATAGCAGGAGGTGCTCTTGGTGTGTCTTGGTTCCTCCCTCACTGTTCTCCTGCCTTGGCAGGCTGCATCTTTTCTTGTTAGATGTTACTGGAGGCTCTCTGCCCACGTATAGGTCTGGGTGAGCCCTGCAAGCCACCAAGGGACGGTGGCACTGCAAGTGAGAGGCCACCTTGATGCAGGAGGAGGATGTGGGCAGCAGTGGGCAGGAGGCTCACCCTCACCTTTCCCTGTTCTCACTCTTGCAGAAACTGCCAGCAACGTGATCCCTCTACAGAGGTCTCAGTCTCTTCCCCACTCGGCCACCGCTGCACTGGGTGGGACGTCTGACGTGAGCACCCTTGGAGGCTCTGCTCTGAGCGAGAGAGAGGCTTATCGTCTGGACAAGTTCAAGCAGTTGCTCGCGGGCCCCCACACAGACCTTGGTGAGTCCCTGCAGGCTGGAGGACGCCATTGGCCATTCTAAAGGAGACGCCGGGCATGGTACATAATGCACATGTCCCTGTGTGAGTGCCTCATAGGGGTTGCTGTGCTCCGTTCCCATGCCAGAGCCTGCTAGGACACCAGGGATGCTGACAGCGTCCTGTGAGGGGCTCTGTTAGTGCCTTTCCAGCTTCTTCTTCCTCTGCGCCTGGATGGACCTCTCCTGCTGTCCTCTGCGGCTCCTTCAGGCTGGCTAGGTGGCTGTGTTTGTTTTCATAAGCATGGGTTGAAGGCTGGCTCACAGGGCGAGGGCTGGCTGGTTACCACCCTCCTGCTCTGCTGACTGCTTTCCCGCCAGAAAGCAGAGGGATCAGAGGGTGGGGAGACAGACAGCTAGGCCCCTGTGGGTCCTGGGTGCAGGCTGGGGGTTGGGGAGGGCAGTCACCAGTGCTGGTCTTCCCCAGAGCAGCGTTGTGGCCAGACCCTGAGGTGTGTGCTCGCCCTCAGGTTCCTCTGGCAGAACCCCACTCTCAGGAAGCTCTGTTGTGAGTGCCACTCTGCACTGGGTGTTTGCTGGATGGTGGAAGGTGCAGTGCTTGGCTGGGCCAGGAGGTGGCGATTGGGGCATGTGCATGCGGGGAGGGCTTACCCAGCCCTTGTGCTCAGGAGGCTGGGGCTGAGGCTGTGAGGCAGAAGGTAGAGAGAGGGCAGGACGTAGTTCGGAGCCATGAAGGAGGGGAGCTCTGGAAAAGTCTGAAAAGCTTCTGATACACAGCTCCAGTTCTGAGGGGATTTCCTCTGCTTTGTTTCATTTATTTTTTGACTCAGTGACACACGTATGTGTCACAGTATTACAAAGCACAGAAGGGGTAAGTGAGAGTGAGCCAGAGCCTCTCGCCCTGTCTCGGGCTCCACTTCCCTCCTTTTCATTATTCCAGATGTCTTCTTCCAGAGAGAGCTAGTGTGCACATTGTGTTAAACATTGTATTTTGATGTCGTTTATTGTTGCAGAGAAATGGCCACTCAGTTTGCCCTCTCCCAGATTCACCATTCTCTACATGTGTTTGTATGTGTGTATTTTTTCCTGAGCCATTTGAAACTCAGTTGGAGATATCCTCTTCTACTCTGGAAAACTTTATTGTAAATTTTCCAAGAGTGAAGATATCTTCTCAAGTAATCGTAGTGCAATTTTCAAGTAAAGCAATTCAACATAGACATTGTACTGTTTTTTGTTGTTTTTTGTACTGGGGATTGATTGAACTCAGGGCCACTCGACCACTGAGCCACATCCCAGCCCAATTTTGTATTTTATTTATAGACAGGGTCTCACTGAATTGCTTAGCTCCTCACTTTTGCTGAGGCTGGCTTTGAACTTCTGATCCTCCTATCTTAGCCTCCCGAACCACTGGGCACCATTCTATTTTAACAATACTGCTGTAATAATCTGTCGTCCATAGTCACACTGTGCCATTCTTTATCACTTTGTCCCTAGTACGGAACCCAAGCTGGCTGGTACATTCCTTTCAGTCCCCATATGCTTAGCTTTTCATTGTGGTTTTTGATCTTGACATTTTTATAGAGTGAGTACAGGCAGTTATTTGGTAGAATGTCCCTGAGTTTGCTGTTTCCTCATGATGAGATCCAGGTTGATAAGTTTTTTGGCAGGAGTATCATGTAAGAGATTTGTGTTCTTGGTCATCATAGCAGGAGGCGTGAGGTCGGTTTGTCCTAACATGGTCATACTGACTCTGGCCACTTGATGGAGGTGGTGCTGCCAGCTCTGCACACTGAAAAGTTACTCTTTTTCCCTTGATAATTAAGAAGTGACAGCTAGACATGGTGGTACATATCTGTAATCCCAGGTGCTCAGGAGGCCGAGGCCTCAGTTACTTAGTGAGACCCTGATTCAATATAAAAATAAAAAGGGCTGGGTGTACTTCAGTAGTAGAGTGCTTGCCTGGCATGTAGGAGGCACTGTGCTCAGTCCCCAGTACTGCAGGAAAAAAAAAAAAGCAATTTGTAGAAACTTTTGAGCCTCCACACACACACACACACACACACACACACACACGTATGTATATTTTAACCTTTATTTACATGTGGTGCTGAGGTACATGAGGTACCTCACATGAATTAGGCAAGCACTCTACCACTGAGCTATAGCCCCTGCCCCTTACAATATATATATTTTTGCCACATGAAAGGTAATATTTAACTATATGTTTTCCTATAACAGGTCAGGGGGCATCCCTTGGATGCATATCACATAATTTATTTCTCCAGCTCCCTAGGTTATTCCTTGTTTTCTGTTATTTACAGACAACTTGAAAACTTCAGTATCTGAACCTCTGATGATAACATTTGCAGAATGGCCCTAGATGTAGGTGGGAGAGAGGGAATAGTACAGGATGGCTCCTGTGAGTTTGGCGTAAGAACTGGGCAGCTAGAGGTCCCATCCACCAAAATAGGAAATAAAGGCAGACTGTTCTTGCAGGAGCATGGGCTGTGGTTTATCCGTATTTCAGATGCTTCCTTTGCAAGCGTGCGGTGTGCCTTCTTTGCAGGGTCTGGGAGCAGCTGAGGCAGGGGAGGGGCAGAACCCCATGGTGCTTGTGGGTCAGGCCCTAGATTTGGTCTGCCTCTGTGGAGATCCTGAGCGCGTGGAGAGGTCCCGGGCCTCAGGGTCCTTGTGCATCTGGAAGACGTGCTGATGGCAGGACTGAGTTTGCAGATTGAGTGGGACGGTGCATGTAACATGCTTAGGTGAGAGGGCCTAGCACATAGTATGCTCACAGATGTCGTTTACTTTTATTATTGTTATTTTATTTTCACTGGCCTACTTACTCTCTAACTTGATTTTTCTGATGTTGATTATTATGGTATGGTAACTTTAGTGCTGAATGATAAATCGAGGTTGTTCTCAGACAGCTTCCTGTTGTGCTCAGAGGTTTCTAAAAGGCGAGAGGTTAGGAGGTGTCCGAGGGAAACAAGATGTGCTTGGTGGGAGTTCTGGTCTAGTCAGGCTCTGCTCACCAGCTAGAATTTCCTTGTGGATTTGGTCATTGGAGCAACTTTTGGAAATTAAAATCATACTTATAAATGAAGCTTCCAGGGTTGTAAGAGAATGAATATGTATGGGTAAGTCAAAAGGTTAGCATGTAGAAGTCAGATTCCTTTGTGAGGTTGGTTCAATTATGGATTTTTTCTTTCTTCAGAATTCTATTTAAATAGTACAATCTAAAGCCAAAAGTTAAAGTCAGAGCTTAAACTGTACTGGATTTATATTTAGTGGTAAGAGAAAACATAGTGGGTAAATTGCCTGTTTCCTAAGGCCTGTAAGGTAGCTCTGAGAAGAGTGGAACATATTCCTTTCACATTACGTAAAAACTTAAGTGGCAAATATTTGCCGACTTCGGAGAAGCAAATTGCTGATGTGCGAAGTGCCACAGAACGATCGTGCCTGCTGCATATCACCGTCCAGCGAGTGCTGCTTTGTTTAGCTTGTGCTGCTAGGAGCCTGGGGAAGAAAGTAGCAAATAGAACTTAACAGCTCATTCCCCTCTTAGCATTGACTCAATATTTACTCACACAGAGACTGCCTGTTTGAAACCTGAGAAAATGACACTTAGAGGCGTCCTGTTTGTCACGTGTGTCTGGTGAAGGGGAGTATGATTTGGCAATGTGCAAAACACGCGGTTTCCTGAGAGCTGCTGAGCGACTCCTCGTAGCGGAGGGCCTGGAGGGCGCACTGTGTGGAGCATTCAGACAGTAGAAGAGGCGGCACCCTGCTCTTGGAGGAGTGGGACCAGCGTCCAGTCATGTTCCTGCTTCCCTGAGGGAGCATCTAGTCTGGCCTTGGATCAGGAGGGTTGTCTGGCCCTGGGCGGAAGGTGGCCAGGTGTGGAGCCGTGTGCCTGGGCAGTTTGGATGTGGGCAGATGCCCTTAGTGTCCATGGCTGGAGGACAGTACAGGGCCTGCTGTGATAGGGGGAGTCACGTGCTGGCTGTGCCCTCACCCTATGTGACTGACTCAACAAGTGATTCATCCTCCTGGTCTCCTCAGCTGTGAAGAGGAAGCAGGTCTACTTGCAAGGTCCTTGGTGTTCGCAGGGTCTACTCCTTCAGCCAGTATGTTTCGCGCCCCTGCTGTGTCAATAGTCACTGTGAGGAGTTGGGAGCCGGCCCTGAGGGCCTTCCTTCAAGGAGCTAGCCTTTTAGTGTTCAGGGGCAGATACACTCAGCACTCCAGATGCCAGCGGAAGTCCACAGGCATGCCTGGAGGACACAGCTATGCCGAGAGGTAGCTCTGGGTGGTCAGCCAAGACCCTGAAAGGGTGCTTTCTGGCTGAGACCCTTGAAGGGAGGTGTTTGAAGACGGGGAAGGCCTTCCAGGGAGAAGAGTGCAAAGGTCCTGTGGTGGGAGAGCTTCAGAAATGCTTGAGAAGTGGCAAGCAGCTATGGAGCTCTGGCCTTGGTGGGGTGGGGAGAAAGGGAGAAAGCCAGTCGGGTGGGAAGTGGCCAGGTCCCAGTATTGAGAAAGCCAGATGAAGGCTCTCTGCTTTCCTCTGGACGCAGTGTGAAGCCTCTGGGAGGTCTGGAACCCGGACTAGTGAAGCTTGGAAGGAAGGACCTTGAAGAATTTCACCAGAGCATTGCCTGGGGCCCTGGACTAGGTAGATTCCTTGGGCAGCCTTGTTGGTATGGAGGTAGGGAGGGGCAGGGGATCCAGGGGTGGTTGATGGAGGATGAAGGCCTTGGGGATGGGTGAGGTGGGGTGGTCAGTTTCTGGCACTGCTGGATGGAACTGGGTCTTGTTGGTTGGACATGATGTTGGGTAGACTGGGAGAAGGAGGGAGCCAAACCATCCAAACTTGGAACCTAGGGGTTGCAGGAATAGGGGATAAAAACCAGAACATGTTAGGAGCTCGGGGATGAAAGAAATATGTCGCTTCAGCTGGGAAACAAAGTCATGGCCTGAGGAAACAGACCAGGGAAAGCAGTC